CCCAAGTTTCAGCCCCATACAAAGCAATGCTCCAAATGTAGCATTTCACTAGTTTCTTTCTCAAATTTAAGTCCAATTTGCTGGTAAAAAGATTCTTCTTCTTGCTAACTGCAGCTTTTGCCATGACAATCCTAGTTTTAATTTCACACGTACACCTTCCATCATCTGTTAACAAGCTACCCAAATATTTAAAACATTTCACATTCTCCAGTTGTTTTTGGTCTATCTTTATTGTGACTGGGGTTGGTTGTCTCGAAATTTTCATTACTTTTGTTTTCTCCACACTCATTTCCATGCCATAGCACCTTCCAATTTTGATTAGTCTATCGATCATACCCTGTAGCACAGTTTCTTCCTTAGCCATTAACACAAGGTCATCTGCATATTTCACAGTTTGAATAATTTGCCCTCCTAATTTGAAGTCTCCAAGCCTGTCCAGAACCTCTTTGGTAAGGCATTCACTGTAAAAGTTGAACAAAATTGGTGATAAACAGCATCCTTGTCGAACTCCTCTTCCAGTCTTCACACTTCTTGTCTCCCCCCTGTCCAGTGGCACTCTAACTTTCTGATCCATGTACAATTTACTAATCAATCTTCTTTCATGCCAATCAATACCTGTTTCCTTTAGGATCTGCATTAATTTGGTCCGATTTGCACAGTCAAATGCCTTCTGCCAGTCTATAAAGCAAGTACACAGTTCATATAGCAAAAATTAATAATATGTCTTAAAGAAATGCAATTACTATTGAAAATCTTATGTTCATGTTCACCAGTTCAGTACAGGTAGGATTATATGGCAAAAGCAAGAGAGGGAATACACCTATAACAACAGAAGTGAATAACAATGTAACGAAAATGAAATAGGTAAAGAAATTATATAAATAGTCCTACCCACATTCAATCCTGATACTGATTCTGCTTCTCAGAGTTTCACACTGAGGTGGATAACCTGAACTTGCAAGTCCATTATAAAGAAACGCCTTTTCATTCTTACCTACACATAAACAAGACCCATGTGTGTCACAAAAAATTTCCCACACAATTCTCGATTGAAATATAATTACTAGAAGATAAAAGCCAGAATGAACTCTGACCCAGTGAAGTTCTAATGTTCTGAGACGAAGGACACATGCTTGCAAAGAGGGGAAGAGATGGAGCTCAAGTTCAAGGTAGGTTTCTTGTATGTAATCAAACTGTGGATGACAATGTGATCCTTCACTGCACAGTAGTTTCTGTTGCTGCACTGCACCTGCTTCTCACCAGGGATACTTTCTCCAACTTATGAAACATCTAATAATGCTCACGTGAGCAGTTGGCACACATATTCTTCCAGTAATTCCATAACGTCCGTCAATTTCCAAGGTTGGTATGGGCAGGACATTAAAAGGGAAAAATGAAGAAGCATTACTTTACTTCCTGATGAGTCAGTATCTTCATCTTCCTCTCTGTGGCCCTCTGCCTGGCTGCTTCGTCATCAACCTGTTTGTTCACTTACACTACCGAGGAATGTAAATTCTTGTGAGACATCTCACAATACCATCTAATATCCGTTGGTGGTGAAGTGAACAGCCAGTACACCTAATCCACTCGAAGTCAATGGTGCTCTTGATGACAGCTGTGATATGCTGCTCCACTGAATTAAAGCTGGTAGCCTCTGCCATTATAGAGTCCATCAGAGTTACAGCAGTACCAGCAGTCTCCACCAGCTTCTCAGAAGGGTATGTGAGAGACTGTTCTGTATCACTGCACTCCTCGAAATATTTGAAGACATTGGCTGATAGCAGCAGTTCAGATGTCAGGCATGTCTTGCATGGATCACAGCTGACACCACGAAGCACCTGTCTGACAATAGAACCACTGATGTGAGCTACTGAGAACACTTCCATGTCACCATCAGGTACTGCAGGACTCATGTCCATCTGTACTTGCTGAGCAACATGGAAACTCTCAGGCACACCAGCAGGGGTTTCCTTGTCATGACTTGTGGAAACATTTGGTGAAGCAGCATCAGGTTCCCTGAGGAACAACTGTAGATTATCCAGAAGAGTAGCATCATCATCCTCACAATTAGTTCGCCCCAGACCTTTAAAAGCAAGGCCACTGATGATGCTAGTCTTCAAGGCATCTACACTGTCCCACAGTTGGGTTATTGTTCAAACCACAGTACGAATGAATAGCCCCAAATGTGTTCTCCAGGGGATCCTGATTCAGGTTTTGGGTGTGAAGGTACTTAAAACCCGCCTCTTTCGGTATCCTCCACAAATGCTGGGCAGCAGTGATGTCAACTAGCCACAAATTCTGTGGAGGAGGAGGATGAAGGAAGGTGGGTTTACCATCCTTGAGGAAGATCCAACTGTTTATCCTCATACTTGCCTTTTTCTTGTGCTCTATATGGGGACTGTTGTCACTGAGTGGGCAACGCAGTGTTTTCCCTTCGTCAACACGTGTTCCTTTCAGCTTTAGTGAAATCACTTTGAGAGAAATGTTTACTGCACAAAAATTTATGGTACAGCATTCTAGCAGAATCAGTAGTACAGGATAACCCAACTCTTACTACACATACCATAGCCCTGTAAGAGCATTACATACTGTCTTAAAACCTTGAAATAACTCATCAGTAAACATTACAAACATGGTGTAGGTGCTACATTACATCATGTACTAAAACAGACATTCATTCATTTATTTACTTTCCATGAATCCTTACATGGCTGGGAGAACAGTGGATATAGTAATAGTCAAAGACAACAGAAGTCCCATTAATTATGCAAATAAAAACTAATTATACTTAACCCATAACAATTACACATATTATCACACAAATCACAGTGAGTAAATCATTAACAGTTATAAAATATATATGTGAAAAACACAACACACTAATGACACAAGACTACAATAATGAAACACATAAATATACTACTAGGCATCCAGCATATAACAGACCAAGATAATTAATTAATATTGAAGTTAAAATAGTACTCCAAGTAAAATGAATTTACTCTTTGGTACCTATCTTTGGGATAGGATTTTATCAATGCACTGGCCTTACCAACTATTCCATAAAATTCTACTTTACGCAGTCAGACAGAGATATAAGACACAGTCAAAAGCTTTCTTCAAATCACAGAAAATGCCAACAACTAATATTTTGTTATTCAGTGCATTTAATATATAGTTAATTAATTTGTGTGAGGCCATTTTTGTACATGAATTACTCCTAAAACCACATTGTTCATTTGCTGTCATGTTGTTACTCATTATGTTGGTGCAGTCTTGCATTTTCAACAACTTCTGAAAATGATGTCGGTACTGATATAGTTCTGTAGTTAGTCACATAAGTTTTATCTGTTTTTAAATAATGGTTTTATTTCTGATTATTTTAACCAAGTGGTGAAGACACAAATTGAAAGAGATCTGTTACAAATATGTTAATGGGGAGCTAATGAAAGGTGTGCTGATTTTTAAAATGCTAAGCTCAATTTCATCTTACCCACTACATTTTCTTGGTTTTAAATACTTAATTATAATTTCAATTCTTTAGTAGAGGTAGGGTTCAGTTTAATTTTTGGAAAGGGAGTCGTGAAAGCTCGACACAGATAATTTGAATATTTGTCCGCATCTGACTCTATAACGTGGCCAACATTTGCATTACTGGTATTGATCTTGTCAGCTATTGTTACAAATAATTATTAACCTTTAACGGCCGAATGTTATAATTATTGGCATCCAGTAGCACCCCGAGCTGGCCGAATGTTATAATTTTTAGAGGCAAGCCACATGCTTCCTTTGTGAGTGCTGGCAGTTTGACCTTGGGTTTGAAACCCAAACAAACTCATGAATGTTCATCTCAGACGTTTATTTGTTAGCTCTGAAGAAAGAAATCGTTTATCAGGGTACTGGTTTCGAAACTATTTACGTTTAGATATGACTGTTTATGACCTGGTGAGCCAATAGAGGTCAGCTTTGTTTTGAGGACTTAGAGGAGGAAATATTCGTGGGCGCTTACATATCAGTGCTACCACAGCTTTCACGGAAGGGTGACGAATTCAGGGATTGGTTTGCAGTGTTGAATTGTCAGTTAGGATGTCAGTGGCGGATTTTCTAATATTTGGTTATTAGTTAGGAAGTCAGTGTCAGACTCCTATATTTCTTTGAATATAATTTTTATTGTGTATCTCGGAAGAGGTATAAACCCACTGAGCCAGTGTTACTNAATGCCAACAACTAATATTTTGTTATTCAGTGCATTTAATATATAGTTAATTAATTTGTGTGAGGCCATTTTTGTACATGAATTACTCCTAAAACCACATTGTTCATTTGCTGTCATGTTGTTACTCATTATGTTGGTGCAGTCTTGCATTTTCAACAACTTCTGAAAATGATGTCGGTACTGATATAGTTCTGTAGTTAGTCACATAAGTTTTATCTGTTTTTAAATAATGGTTTTATTTCTGATTATTTTAACCAAGTGGTGAAGACACAAATTGAAAGAGATCTGTTACAAATATGTTAATGGGGAGCTAATGAAAGGTGTGCTGATTTTTAAAATGCTAAGCTCAATTTCATCTTACCCACTACATTTTCTTGGTTTTAAATACTTAATTATAATTTCAATTCTTTAGTAGAGGTAGGGTTCAGTTTAATTTTTGGAAAGGGAGTCGTGAAAGCTCGACACAGATAATTTGAATATTTGTCCGCATCTGACTCTATAACGTGGCCAACATTTGCATTACTGGTATTGATCTTGTCAGCTATTGTTACAAATAATTATTAAATGAATCTGTAATCACATCATGTTTATGAGTTAACTTCTATCAATGTTTAAAAACTGTATACCTGCATTATTAATTTTTCCACCTGTATCTGATTTTATAATGCTCCAGGTGGTTTTCATTTTGTTACTAGAATTAGAAATTAATTTATTATAATGAAGATTTTTAGCTCCTTTAATAACACTGGCCAAAATTTTACAGTATGTTTTATAATAATATTTTAGATCTGGCTCATACCATGTTGAATCCCTGGAAAAACAGAAGAATGTAATTCCAGTGTGCTCACTGGAAGACATGCATCCTGGTGCAAAACACTTTTTTTCTTCCCATTTATCCTCCAAGACACAATATAAAAATTTTAACACAATCATAGTACACTCTCACTTTCTTGAGATTCTACGGTCCTAAGAAGGCTACACCGAAAGATGCTTAAAATACAGAAATATGATTTGGATCAAGTATCATAGTAACACTTTCTGACTTCACGTTTGCTTCTAATTTCATTGGGCGTAGTAAGCATAATCCATATACGAAAATAACACACACGTGAATTTGTGCATAAATGTTGACTCTCGCTTCACAGCATCAAATCAAAATCTCTACTTACTAATTAATCTAATTAATTGCACAACATACCTCAATGGCACACATGTAACGTTACAAACTATGCAGTATTACCGTATTACTGAGCCAAAGCCCAAAGCGTTTAATAGAAATTCAAGTTCCTCTGATTGGCTCACACTTATGTGATTCGACTAATTTCGATAGGTATATAATGATCAATTCCAGTCATTTCCAGACTATCTAGTTCATGTAGGATGCATAGAGATGGCTGGTCTGCAAGTTCCCCTCCCCTATGGGAGTCTCACCCTCCTGGTCAAGAATTTTCTCTTCAACACATCAACTAGACCGACGCTGGGATTCACCCAACCTCCTATTAAAAGGGTACTGGGGGCTCTTTCACCTGGGGTAAAGCGGCTGGGGCATGAAGCTGACCACTCACCTCCAGCTAGTGCCGAGGTCAAGAAAATGTGGATCTATACATTCACTCCCTCATACACCTTCATGGTGTAGGGCTTAATTAGTTAAGCACAAGGATTTTACCTTTTATGAATATACTGAAGGAGCTTCCATGGAGAGCTGAAAACGGGTGTTCCTCCAGCTTGAGGATTGGGCATCAAGCTAACAAATCTTTGCCATAAGAACATTATTTTGTTACAAAATGTTACACAGGACTTTGCACTTTGGTGGATTCTTTGGATACACCAAGATTACATAATAATTCATAATTATTGGGAATTCTGAAATAAGAACAAGATTTTTCACGTTATTCATCCCCATATTGGAGGTATTGGTAAACGTATTCAACAAGGGATAGAACTATCATTTGGTATTCTTCTCTTCTTCCAAAATCAAACTGAATGGGAATCATCATTTGTCCCAGCTTTGCACAACGCTACAAGTTAAATAAAACTCGAAAATGGCCAGTGGAAACTAATGGGAAAATGGAAAATATTGGTACAGATGACCATGTTTGTTGTTATCTAATACCAGAGAAAACCATTTCTTACTCTGAAACATGAATACAACTCAGCATGAAATCAAATGAATCAGTGAAGTTTAGGGGTATATTTTATACAGTAAACAGCAATATAATGCATATTGCTATTAATCCAGAGCAATGTAGAGCTACGTCTGATTAACAAAAAGTCTGTAAAGGAGGAGAGGGAGGAGGGGTAAATGATATCAGCAATACCAGTGAACAAATTCTTAATGCACTGAATAACAAATACTTCAATCATCCCAATAAAAAATACAATAATTTCTAAATGAAGTCAGTACAGTTTTTTTAGAAGTGTGTATTGATCAGAGAAATGACAGCTCTAATTGCTGCAGAAGCAGAGATTTCCTTTTGTAATTCATTTAACAACACTCTCAGTAACTCAGATTATATAGTGGCAAATGAGCGGACACTGAGAAAAGATTAAGAAAGGATATGGAAATTAGTGATGGTGGTCTAATTTAACACACTATCCCAACATTTGCCTATGAGATCTATGGACACCACAAGAAACCACTGTCAGAACAGTGATGTCCTGGCTGAGATTCAAACTACACACCTTCCACATGTAAGTCAACATTACCAGTTGAGCAAACTTGTTCAGTCACAACTGCTCTTCTGTCATGAAGAAAATAAAGTTAGAGCTCCCTAACGACTTCATCAAGGAAGAAATTCCAAAATGTTTCTTGACTACCCGGTTCAATGCCAACATGATGCTACATGCCATCAGATACAGCAATTTTTACGTTCTGATTTTGTTATAAGTGCTGCTGTTTCCTCCAACACATTTGTTCACAACTTCAATTATCTTAAATAGTGGTCTTTGAAGATTCTGAATAACCTAGGTTTAAACATGTGTTTTATTACTTGGATTTAGGTTATATTACTTTATGAATCATAGAATAATGCTATAAAAATACAATTATAAAAGACAAGTCCATCCAGTGTGACTATTTCAGTTTTCTCACTTGATGATTCACTAGCCTTACATGTTTCGATCCATTTGGATCATCTTCAGAGGCACCAAACACTTTTTAGAAACCACTATCACAACAGTTGTCATATCAATTACACATGTATTGCCAAGTACACAATTTTCCATCCATCAGTCACAGCAGCCTTTCTGGTGTTTATAAACAGCACAGTGGGCCAAGAAATCATAACGGACTATATTAAGAATCTCCTTACTCAAGTTACATAGGCGGCACAACATCGGCCACCTAGAAGAGAGACAACAGGGGTTATTGACACGAACCTGTAAGGTTTATGAATTTAATTTTGAACAAAGTTTTTAAAACTATAAAACAACTTTAAATAAATATTTGTATAACCAGAAAGGCTGCTGTGACCCATAGATGGAACATTGTGCACTTGGCAATACATGTGTAACTGATATGACAACTGTTGTGGTAGTGGTTTCTAAAAAGTGTTTGGTGCCTCTGAAGATGATCCAAATGGATCGAAACATGTAAGGCTAGTGAATCATCAAGTGAGAAAACTGAAATAGTCACACTGGATGGACTTGTCTTTTATAATTGTAACTGTTAGTGTGACGGACCAAAAATGAAACAAATCAAATGCTATAAAAATACATTTACATTGCAGTGTCAAAAATGCTGATTTATTCGTCTTAATTGTTAGACTGAGAAACATATATACAAAATCAGATTCAGCAAATACAGTCAATTTTAACACATTCTGTTGTGTTTACATTGTAATAATGAACAGTAATAATGACACTACTTCTTTTGGTTTATTTTGGACTTCACCCATCGTCTGGTATGTGAAAGACAAAAGAGCTTGACGTTTTGGAGAGTGGATCTGTCTCCGAAACGTCGTGGTTTTTTGTCTTTCACATACCAGACGATGGGTGAAGTCCAAAATAAACCAAAAGAAGTAGTGTATACACCATCGTCAGAATCCTTTCAAGTCTATCTCAGTAATAATGATACTCTGCAATATAAGAGCCCTGTCATTTTGATCTGTGTTATGTGTTATGCCACTGCACAGGATCATGATGAAGTCTTGTCTTTGCAGTTAAAATGGTGATTTCATACAGTGAATCTCGTAAGACATTTGTTTCGTTACTGTATCGAAGTCAACACTAAGACATGTTCACAGTATATTTTGTTAACTCAAGATGAAAAATCAATCCTTCAGATCTTAGCTGTATAAGACCAACCAATTACTTGCTTCACCTTAAAAAAAAAAAAAAGCATTATATAAACCACAATGATTGTTTTTCTGGGCATTATCAATCATCCAAAAGTTTATTAAATTGGAGGTTCAGAGGCTGGACTGTGTCTCCATTCTCAGAAAAAAAAAAAGACTCCTGACTTGGAACAAATTTATGGAGCTAGGGACTAGACCGGCCTCTAAAACACTGTCTTAATAAAAATGTTGACAACAGGTAATGGTCCCAGAAATCAGTCACATTAATACACCATTGTCACATACTTATAGATCTTATTATACAAACTGATTTAATTCCATACATCCACTTTCTCTTAATAGGCAAATCCTAGAGAGACCAGCTCCCAAGATATGTCCCAGATTCAAAGTACTTACTGAATCCAAATTCAGCTGTCTGTGCCAACCCTACACACTAATCTATTCATTCTACCTTCATAGTTTTAACTCATTTACAGTATCACACGGGAGCTATACAAGTGTCACTGAATTACATTGTATTCATTAATAACATCAACTGATTAAAATATCTTTCTTTACAACATTGTATTGCTCTAGTTCTGGTGCTGGTGCAGCATTTTAAACACACTTTTCAGACGAGATCTCAGGTTCTCACAATGGAGATTATTATAATTGTAATTTTACTCTTTATTCCATTCCTTTTAAAAGTTGAATTATTAATTTACCTTCTGTACCCTGCAAAACAACATTTACTTCTGTTCCTTACATGCCCTGTAAAGGGAGGTCATTATTTTTCCTTTCCCGTGTCCTGGAGTGCTTTATCACACCTCCCCCCAATATGAGTGTTACTAAGTCAAACATCAGCATTGATTTCCATTGAAAAAAAATCTTGCAGAGTGACAAATTATGTGTTGGACATAAACAGCAACAGATATTGTCAATATTCATTTAGTGAAGACCAGTGCTCTTTTATACTGCCCTGACAGATGGGAGGGGAAACTACTTTAATAAATGGGCCTAACTCTAAAATCCAATGGTTTTATGTAATAAAAAAAAATATAAAATAAGAAGGGATGGAAATCTGCAGTTTCCTTTCTAACAAAGACAAGGTAAGACATCAAAGAAACAACACAAAATCTCAGATATTTAAAATACTCACAGCAAGAGATTCATACGTGTTGTATCACCACGAGAGTAGCTTGCTTTACCATAGCCACCTCCCACTCACAGCCCGTTATAACTACCATGGTGCCATACAGCTTGGGGCGGTTACGAAACATTACATGAACATTGTATTTTTCTTGGACGCTCCTCAGATACGAAGAATTGCTATCAGGCAGACTGCAGTGTTCCTACTATTGGCAACTCAAAGCTAAAAATCAATGGAGTCAGTTTCTGTGAACAGAATATTCAGTTTCATTAATAAGCTTACATTTTCATCATAAATCTTACAAGCCTAGCTACACTAATTATCACGACTGCACGTTTCACATTCAGCTTAGAAATCCAGTCTGTGTTACATACTGTATAAGGAGGGGATATTTCTGGAAAGACAAAGCACATTGTATCAGGTGTTAAGAGAGTAACAACACAGAAATTTTCTCTTCAGATCTGGTTCAGATACTGGATTCATCACTGTCCAAACCTATCAGTTCAGCTCAGTTCATTTCAATTTTCAGCATGTATTTTTCTTTTTATTTCTGAGGATGGTGTGAGAGCTGCGAACAGAAATTCCTAATTCCTCTGCAACTGACTACATGTGTTGATGATCAGAGCACCTAGTTTTCTGAAATTTTTCACACTGTACTCCTGATGTATTAATTAAGAAATAAAAGTATTCAATAGGAAAATGCATAAAATAATGAAGTTAAGAGTGATGTTAAAATCCTGGAAATTGAATTGGATAGATCATGTTATACCAGGCATGGGCTTCATCTCAATGTAATTGGGAAAAATAAAGTGAAAGAGATGATATAAAACCAGATATGGGAACTCTCAACTAAGGACAAGGGAGACATTATTGCCCAGGGTTGGATATATAATTTGAATGAACCTTGCCAAGCACAGGGAAGAGATAATACAAGTCCAAAAGTCAAGGAATCTCAACTGAACGATGGAAAAGAAAAAGAAGACAGTGAAAGTGAGAACTTGAGTGATTGTGACCAGACAGTGGGTGTACTCAAAAATATTATAGAGGGAAATGACACCAGTAATCAACAAAAGGTAATAGAAACAATCCTTGATCGGGAAAGAGAGCATAGTAATAGAAGAAAAAGAAGACCACCTACCAGAAATGAGGATTCTTTATGGGAGTAAAATGAAATAAGTCTCTATTCTATTCTAAAGGCTCTCTTATTCCTGTACATCAAAATATCAGAAGTCTTGGAGACAAAATTGATGAATTGAAGTGTTCAATAGTTAGCAATAATATAAATCCTCACTTAATATGCTTATCTGAGCATCACATGTCTGACAAAAAATTATTATGCAGCAATTTCCAGAACTATTTATTGGGAACAAAGTATGACTGTACGACTCATCAGGGAGGAGGTGTTTGTATATACATAAGATCTGATATAAAATTTAATGCTATAAATCTAGAACAGACCTGTGATGAAAAGACCATAGAAATTTCTACACTTAAGATTTCTTTAGCTAAAACTAACATATTTGTACTGTGTATATACAGGTCACCCTATGGGAATTTTGAGTACTTTATAAATAAGTTGGATAAAGTACTCAAATTACTCTATAAAAAAATTGAATTTATATTATGTGGTGATTTTAATGTAAATTTTTTAGAAGAGTCAACTCGTAAAACACAGCTATTAGTGCTGCTGCAATCATATATTTCATACAGTACAGTTCCCAACAAGAATAACTGTGACCAAAAACTCTGCTATTGATAATATTTTTATAGATAAGGCAAGGATAAATTCATATGAAGTACTCTCTATTAGTAATGGACTATCTGATCACGATGCTCAGTGTCTCGCACTAAAAAATATCAATTTCCTGGAGAAGGAAAAAAGTGCAGGGAATCACAAGAAGATTAGTAAATGAAGACTCAATTGCTCAATTTCTTAATAAACTATCTAATGAAAAATGGGAAAATATACATAAACTAAATGATGAAAACAAAATATTCCACTCATTTTTAAATAAGTATTTATTTGTCTTTGAGTCATGCTTTCCAAAGCAAAATGTAACAAATTAACAAAAGGATAATGGCTGGATAACAGTGGGTATACATACATTCTGTAGACAGAAGGAATCCTTATTCATTCTCTGTCGAAACAGATGCAACTATTTGTTTAAATCATACTGCATGATATAAAGAAGAGTAATAAGAGAAGCTAAAAGGAAATATTATAATCAGTTAATCACATCAGCTGAAAACAAAATAAAAACTACCTGGAACATTCTCAACACTGAAACAGGTAGGACTAACAATCAGAATAAAGAACGTCTACCACAGACTTTTCAAAATAATAATAAATAAATACTGAAGAAGCAGCTCATAGTTTTGATAAATATTTCACAACAATAACAGAAAATCTTAATATTAAGAAAACTAATATTTATACTGCAATGTCATACTTGCATTCCCATTTCTCAAATGGTGTTCCAGGTATGAATCTTAATTTAGTTGCACAAGAGGAAATAATTAGTATAATTAGCAAATTAAAATAAAAACTCTTCAGGGTATGATGGTGTAACAAATAAAATTATAAAACTGTGCAGACAACAAATCAGTAAACCTCTAACTTATGTAATTAATAAGTCATTAACCATGAGTCTATAACCAGAAAGATTAAAATATGCAATTATTAAGCCAGTATACAAAAAAGGGGAAAAGGCCGTTACAAGTAACTACAGTCCATTATCTATAGTAACTGGGTTTGCAAAAGTTTTTGAAACAGCAATTTTTAGAAGACTCAATGATCATACTGTAAAACAGAAAATATTACTTTCAGAGCAGTATGGATTCCAAAAGGGATTATCAACCAGTCACACTAGACGGAACTGTTTACCTTTTCATGATTTGTATGAATGTTCATATAAATTTTGCTTCCTGAGATTGTTTCATTCTGGTCTCTTTGTTACGACAGTGCTGGGCTTGTGCTGGGCATCTGGATGGTTCAGCAGTTCAGGAGGGCAAGTCGACACTGGACTAGACAGTATCGTATGCTTCAAGTCATAGAACAGTTCAGAATCATCTTTGGTGCAGAATGAGACTGCCATACCATGTTTTCCTGCACGACCCGTTCGACCAATACGATGTGTATACTCTTCTATGCTCTTGGCCATGTCATAGTTGATGACCATGGATACATCCTTGATATCAATACCTCGACAGGCCACGTTGGTGGCCACAAGGATGCCTTTGGTGCCCAACCTGAGGCTTGCTAGTGCGTATTCTCGTTGTTCTTGGCCCTTGCCACCATGCAGTGTGCAGGCATCGTAACCACGCATCCCTAACGTCCTTGCCAACGCATCTGCTCCTTTCCTCTGATTTACGAAGATAATGACTGGAGGTGTGACACCACGACCAAGGATCTCCAGCAACTTGCGGCTCTTGTCTGCCTCCGGGAGGATGTACACGATCTGCTCTACTCGTTCTGTTGGCTTGCCAGCAGACCCAATATAGAGAACGGCTGGGTGACGCAAGTATGTACGAGCCAAACGCTCCACTGCTGGGGGCATTGTGGCAGTAAACATGACTGTCTGTCTGTACTTTTTCTTTGAGTTGTAATTGGCCAGCAGTTTAATCCCGTCTTCTGCTTCCTCAGTGTCTGGCTTCAGATTTGTGACTGGCATGTAGTTTAGGATTTTCTGTACATCTTCTTCAAAACCCATGTCAATCATATGATCAGCCTCATCTAGTACAATATAGGTACACTGGTTTAGTACCAGGTACCTGTTCTCAAGCACATCAATCAGACGCCCGGGTGTTGCTATCACAATCTCACATCCCATCCTGAGCCGGAAGCTCTGCTCCTCCCTGGACAATCCGCCCACCACAACCACTGTCCTGATTCCAAGCGGTTGTCCAAACTTGTTGGTCTCCTCCTCAATCTGCTGAGCCAATTCTCGAGTGGGTGCCAAGATTATGGAGTATGGACCCTGGTCAGCATCTTCAATACGTTCAATCTTGGGCAGAGACTGTATCCACGTCAGCAGAGGAATCAGGAAGGCCAGTGTCTTACCAGAACCTGTTTCTGCCACACCAATGATATCTCGATTCTGCAGGCCAATGGGAATGGCCTGTCGCTGGATAGGAGTGGGATCAGTATAGCCAACTTTCTCAACAATCTCCAGAATCTCATTAGGAATTCCAGACTGCTTCCAGTTCCTGATTGGATCAGGGATTCCACCACCCTTGATGGTGATGTTGTATTCCTCTCGAAATATTCGCCAGTCTCTCTCAGTCATCTCATCCTTAGACTTCTCAGACCAGTGACGGTCATCCCACTTCTGTTTCTCCTCTTTCTCCTTGAGTTTCTTTAGGCGCACCTTCTCCTGCTCCTTCTCAGCCTCAGTTCGTCGTCGCTCCAGCAACTCCCCATAGAACTTGGACTGATGTCGTTTCTGGGCCTTGATGTCAATACCCGCAACATTACCTCGACCAAAGAACTGAACCTGATGCCGTTCCTTGTAGAGGGGATTATGGCCGATAGATGTGTCCTCTGAAGCATCCCAGTCAAACACAAACTTGCGATCATTGGGCCGACGCACACGACGTATCTTCTCAACTGGTCTTGGATAACACTCTCTTATGATCTCCACTTCCTTCTGCTTGTCCTTTGAGTACGGGCTGTCCTCCTCTTTGTCTGTATTTTCACGCTCTCTGTCTCTGTTCCACCTCCTAAAGCCGTCTTTGTCCCGATCCTGATCTTTGTCTGCCTTGCACAAATCATCAAATGCCTTTTTGGCCTCCTTGTAAAATTCAGCCCTTTTCTTTTCTCCTTCTTCCATCTTACGTCGTATCTCTTCTTCCTCTTGTTGCTGTTGCCTCAAAGCCTCAGCTGCACGTTCTTCCTTTGTCAGAAATTTGGGCTTGCTGCGAGCTGCCTCTTCAACCCGTTTTTTGGCAAGCAGCTCCTCGAATGATAATGGTTCCTTCTTGTGTTCCTCCTTCTCCTTCATGATGCTAGGTGGGGTAGGGGTGCGTTTTCGGTCCCTGTGCCGATGCCTCTCTCGCTCTCGGATTCTGCTGCAAGACCGTTCTTTCAATTTTGTTAACTTTCTTCTTTCTATGGTCTTTCTCTCTTTAGAGTGACTGCGAGACCTACGTGGTCTCTCACGACGCTCTCTTTCCTTTTCCCTGCTACGATTGCGTCGTTGTGGCTTCTTGTCCATGCCCACAGATTAGTGTAACGTGTTTTGTCTCCACTGTGGACGCCCTTCAGGCTGTTAAAAATAAAACTGAATAACACTGTTCAAGTGCAGTTCTTTGTCAAACTGGTAAATGGGCAGCACGGAAGTGTGGCGATAAAGCATTCAAAACATTAAGTTGGAATTCATAACCTTAATGGGAAGAACGAAAGTGTGGTGCAAATACAGTTCAATGTAGTTCTTTCTTCACAGATACGTTACCACAGTAACGAAAAATTAGACCAAATTAAACATCATTAACTTTCCCTACGGAAAACTACTTAAGCTTGGTGTACTTGACAACACGTCCAACAGTCTAAACCGAATCAATTCTTGGTCATGTGTCACTGCTGATCAATGGTTACCCAAAAGTAAAATCCAACCTGGCAACGAAAAAAAAGTTTACCTTTTCAAACGATTATTTTACAAAGACAGGAAGCACGATCCACCAACAAACTTCCTTTTCCTCACCAAAACATGAAACTAGTCCACTTCACAACACACGATTACACAACACAGCGACAATCAATGACGTCAGCCAGTGTTATAGCCATCTACATTCAACACGTAGCCAAACACATGCTCGCCAACTGTGTGACGCAAAATGGCAGCCTTCGGAAAAGTAACAGAGAGGTAGAGAGAAAAATCATCGCCTCAACGAAAATGTTAATACGCACATAACTGAGAGTAATCTCCTTTCCACATCGGCATGGCACATCCGCTGGTTGTGGACGGATCTACGAGCAGGAGCCCGGAAAGTGTAGTCGGTATCGGTCGGTATCACGAGGATCACGAGCATCACGAGGTAGCAACTCAATGCTATTGGCGGGCAACATAGCCAGCGTAACGTCCTGAGTTCGCTACCGTGTTGGAGAATAGGGGATTTCAACAGATAAATCAGTAGTACCAAATAAGCAGAGCACTGTGATGAACACTGGTAACTTTCGGGTAATAATGCGAATGTTTTGGTTGACGAAATTGAGGGTTTGTATCTGTTCAATTGAAATTCAAAGTTGTTAGCAGTGATCTGACCGGAGACATTTTAGACAAATTACAACTGGGAGGCTTCGCTTTGATTGGAAGTTCAGTGTTTACTTATTAAATCTCTTGTGTGAAGTGTATGGGCATAACAGTTCTGATCTCCGGACATTCGTACATGTTAAAATGCATTGCTTACTCTTCTTGATTGTGTTGTTCAGATTTTTTGTTGCAGAATATAACTATGTTGTAAATGTACGATGGCAGTCCATTTCACGTGATACTGGGTGCCCTGTAACTTCTGCAGTGTTTAATAACGTAATAATAGTTTCGCTGTAAATATTAATTTCTCTGTTCTTATAATTTCCTAATTCGAAAAGTATCCCAGGGTGTATATATTAACCTCAGAAGAATGAGTGTCTTCACGGTGAAAGTAAATCCTGTAACTGGAAAATCAGAGTGGGAGCTGCAGAATGAAGATTATGACTACCATCAAGAGATAGCACGTTCGGCCTTTGCCGACATGTTGCATGATACGGAAAGGGTAAGCACAAGCACACCAACTCCAGGGAAGTGATCCCTTCTTGAGAAGCCACCAGTTGAGTAGCTACTGGAAAATGTCCCAACATTTTATGGAACCTGAAGGCTCAGTACTGTGTTCACAAGCGTTCCACTAGCCCCAGTCCTGATGCAGCCCATACCACCCCATCCTGTCTCTCTAAGATCTGTCTTTATAGGTCTTCTTAGTGAGCTCTTTCCCACCAAGATCCTGTACATATTCCTCTTCTCTCTATGCCCAGCCCCTCAATCTTCAGGGTAAAAGAAGAAGCCAGCATGAAGCATATAGTAAGCAAAGCTTCCCTGGCTTATTATTTGACCCTGATGATAGAAGTAACATGTTCATCTGAATTGTCAGCTGATATTCAGCCAGCTGCACAATGTCATATCCCAAAGATAGAACTCTCCATAACCACTGCTGTGAGGACCTCAAATTCTGCAAGTAACTTCATTTCTTGATACTGTTGTGAGTTGCTGTATGTAGTTGTAGCCTTCAGATCATAATAAAGTTGTTACCCACTGCTACATTTGGCATATATCTTCTATCATTCCTCGCTCCCTCCTCTCTCCTCTGCTTTCTTCCAAGTCACAGTTACATATGACTGGTGCATGTCGCAACTGTTAGTTCAAGTGAAAAATATTCTAAGTTGGTGGGTTTTCTGTATTTTGCATCTTCATATCCTTCTTATATTCAAAGAATGATAGTAAAGTGAAGTCTTACTGTGTTACAGAATCAGAAGTACTACCTTGGAGTGAAATTAGCCATAGAAACAATGCACAGTATGGGGAGGAAGGCTCATGTGTTTGACATAGGAACTGGCACAGGACTGCTGTCACTGATGGCAGCAAGGAGTGGAGCTGACACTATTGTTGCTTGTGAGGTGATTTACTAGTACTTTTACTTTAACACAGTGTGATACCATTTGATTTTATTTGCAAAAACACCCATGCAAAATTAATTAGAATAATGCGTCAGAATTACCACAAAAATTCTCCGTATTTTACATATGTTGCTTGACTTTTGTCTGCTGACATTTCACACTCATCAAAGTTGCTAAACCACATAAATGGGCAAAGTTGTCAAAATGTGCCATTGGACAAGCATGGGGATTATTGAAGAGTGCCATAAACTCATCACAGCATTTTTTTGGGAAAGCTTGATGTGGTTTCATGCACGTTTCTGGCACCTTCATAAAATGGTCACATTCATGCATCGAAGTTCCTTTTCAGAAAAAGAGCAATCTTGAAACGTAAAACCCCAGCAGAAATATATGCTGGAATCTTCTCTCTCTCTCTCCTCCCCCCCCACATGGGCATCCTACATGAACACTCATTTCAATGTGTAACCATCTCAAGGTATTTCAAAACAAGAAGTAATGCAGCTGATGGAATGTTTCGCGTTGAAATGCTGAAACCTTCATGGCCAGTTAGTATATGAGATGATTTTATAAAGTTTTCACACAGAGTTGAAGAAATTACAATTTTAATAACTTTCCTTATGAAGTGAACATCTTGCATTTTCATGAAAAATGCAACTAGATTAGAAGTGGGGATTTGTGTGACTGCTCGTGAAACACCCATCCAAACATAGTTCTGCTTCACACCCACTGTTTCTCTTTGTTATCCATGTTTTGAGCACGTGACACATCTTGTCTGTGGCTTATCCTTCTTTTCTATGGTATGAATTTTCTATGAGAAATGACGTTCAGTCAGTCTCTTTAGGGGTGGTTCCATTGATGGGCAGTCATATACAAGGTGAAGGATGGCACACATGTTTGTGAGACCTTGTATCAGAAGGAGCCTGAATTTCAGAGGGCGTGTTCCCTTATTGTGTTTTGCGGAGCAGTATGTTATCATGTAATTATCAGTAACTACATCAAGTAACCTTGTGAATAATTTTGTGTACCATTTAGAACCCTGCTTTCACTCAAGCAAGTAAGGCTGTAACAAATTGCTATCATACTCTGATTGTAATCATATATACCTGCAGGTTTCATCTCTCCCTTATTTGCTTTATTTACTTTTGTGTGTATTTTATCTTTGTGGTATATCAGATCATATCAGATCATAGTCTCCACCTTATCGTGGTGAGGGGGTTTGAGTATGCAAAGGACCCTGAGAGCTATACCAGCGGTAGCGTAGCTACTGGCAGGGCCTCCCTTGCTGGACAGTTCAAAGGGTAGGCATCAGATGAAGAGAGACACCAAAAACTGATGCCGGAAGCAGCGTCATCAGCAGCGACTTGAAGCACAGAGCAAATGATGGCCCGAGATGGTTCAAGCTCGTATAGCAACAGGCGTGACCAGAGTGGTTTGAACGGCTGTTATACTGCGATGTGGAAAGCAAATGGAAAAACTACCACATTATCACTTTTCCTGGATAGTCTCTTTCCAAAAACANAACAGAGATACCATGTATGCAAGATGTTTCCTCTGGAGACAAACAAACCGGAGGGGCAGATAGACGTGCCCAAAAGACGAAGAAGACCGAAGAAGATATTTTAATTGAAGGAGAAAGCTTGAGATTGCATTAAGTGGAGGAACTGTTTTGGAACAGACTGTGGACCTGTCGTCTGACAGATTACTGATGAATGAATGAATGAATATCATATCATAGTAACTCTCTTCTTATCCTGCTAGATGTGTGCTCCCACATCCCCTGAATACTGACTGCATATATCTTCCTTCTTTTGTGTTTTATTGTTTATGAAGAAGGGGAAATTTTCCTGTTCATATTTAAAATGCTTACACAGTCTGTGCATTTGGATTTCAAGAATCTGGCCAACATTGGACAATTATAAGAAAAGATGGTCCATCCAGAAAGAGTGGCTGTGATCAAGATGTTCCACCAGCTTCGTAACAATCGCTGATGTTCTATTTGTGTCTGAGTTCTCGTAGTGATTTGTCAGTTCAATGCCATGCCCAGAAAAAGTAAGGAAACACCATATATAGCGCATGCTAGATTCAGAAAGTCCAGATGACTTCTTGGTTTCATTTACTATTAGCTGAATCAAACTGTGGACCATGGATGGTGTGTTTCCCTTACTGTAGATAATGTGCTTATATCTTCCCACGCAAAATTCTTTGAAACTTCTAGATAAATCTGTGTTTTCAGGCATTCCAACCCATGGCTAAATGTGCTAAGAAAGTCATTCATGAAAATGGTCTAGGAGAAGTAATACATATTATTCCAAAACGTTCAACTAATATGACTGTTGGTGCTGGTGGGGATATGGAACATCGTGCGAATATTCTTGTGACTGAAGTCTTTGACACTGAGCTCATTGGTGAAGGAGCCATTGCAACTTTCAGCCATGCACATAAAGAGCTTTTAGAGGTAAGTACTTCCACAGTAAATAGATTTTAGGGTGCACTCAGTAAATTCTTTGTTAGTCTTCTGTTCTCCTTTCAGTGTTGTTTCTGTTTTATAAGGGTCAGTCTCCACTCTCCTCCATCTTCCCGCAATCTTAAAGTTTGCATTTTGTGCCAGTTTGGTCCTCTTTTCATAATGTCTGCCAGTACCTGGCTAAAATATCTTGTTCTTTATCAACCCACAGGTCTTTCCCATTCAGAATTTAATTTTAATGTCTGTGGTATCCTTATACTGTCCATTCTTTTTACATGGTGAAACCTTCCTGTTCTGTCTGTTTTCACATACCCAGACCATTGAATCTTCTTTCATCTAACTCTGTGAACAAATTTTGAGTTCCAGCATCTGTGAAAGTTTAATTCTAATTCCATAACTCAGTTTTATCTCTCAGCACTGCTTAAAATGTAATATCCATTGTGTGGATTTTTCTTTAATTATTTTTTTGTAAGGGTCCATGTTTTGGAGTTAAATGTAAATATTGGGTTAAAATTGTTATCTTGCATTTTTACTTTTCTGTTCCATAATATTCCTTGTGTGATTTGCTAGAACTTAGAACTGTTCGTTATTCTTGTGTTGATATCTCCATTGTTGTTCGCTTCTGGATTTATTTCTGTTCCCAAATAAATTTGTCAGCTTGTTTAACCACCATTTTGTTAAGTGTTATATTGATGTTTGTGTCTTTGTTGCTTGGAATCCTCATGATCTCTGTCCATATTCATTTTCAGTACACGTTCCTTTATAGTAAGATTCCACAGAATTAGGATCCCTTCACTTTCCTTTTCATCTTCCCTCCATATTAACAAGTCATCTGCAGATAATAATGTTTTCGTGTGCAATCTCTTGTTGTCTCTTCTAACTTCATTAGCAGTTTCGGCTATCATGACACCACACACTCCTCATGCTGCAACTTTCTCCGAGCGATCCTGATTTTCCTAATTTTATTTGTACAATCATATGTTAGCTTAATGTTTTCAGGATATATTCTGGTGTTTTTAATTTTCTTCATCTTGACCAAATATTTTGTGTCTTTAGAGTGTTGTATGCCTTATTAAACTTTATAAAAGCAAATACCATATTTTGCGATATTCCCAATGTTTCTCAATTAATTATCTCATGGTAAAGGTAATATATGTTGTGAGTTTTTCACAATGAAGTGCATCCTTTTTCTCATTGAGTGTGGCTTCTATGAGCTTTTGTATTTTATTAGTTAAATACGTCAATAAATTTTGTAACAGTGACTCAGCAGTGTTATTTGTTTGAAATTACATCACATTTTCTCTGGCCTTTCTTGTATATATTAATAGTATTACTCCATTCCTTTAGTTGTCTGGCATCTCCTTTGACTGCCAAATATTCCTCATAAGTCTGACCATCTGTTGCATTCCTGCGAGTCTTGTTACTCTTATCACTTCACCATCTCCTGGCGCTTTGTTATTTTTCATTTTTGCGATATAAATTTTTGATATCCAGTTATATTTCAAAATTTGACCCAGGGGTCCAGACTGTAGAAGGGTTATGACAAGCAAAGACCCTGTTGAGGTAATGAAGGGACCCAGAAATCAACATCTGATGTGGCCGTGATGATGATGTGACAGACCAAGAAAACTGACAGCAGATTTATGAATGCTTTCAAAATGATGAAAAACTTAATATGTTTTAAGAGAAGTTTTTGCATTTTAGAGGTAATGACTTTTATAATACTTGGTTTTAAACAGTTTCATGAAGAAGATCTTAATTCTGTGTGCATGTTTAAGAAAAGTACTTTTCTAGAATGTAACTGGGAGGGAGGTAGTTTGGAAAAAGGAGAGACCAGAAACTTTATTTATTACAGTGATTCTCAAATCAGCTGTTGTGTTTACATGAATTCTTGTTTATCCAGCATAAAATCTTTTTTTTTTGTAACACACACAAAGAGAGTCATTTCTTATCATCACAGATATTTCATGGAAGGAATTTGAACCCATATACCCCCCTGTAGAACAGTAACAAATTTCATCTATATTAATGATCTTATAGCAACTGAATGTGTCTTTTAGAAAGACTGCATTGTGGTTCCATCGTCATCAACTGTGTATGCTCAAGTTGTTGGAAGTCGGTTAGCACAGAACTGGAACTGATTACAACCTATATCTGATGTAGATGGAAGCACTGTGCTGCTGGATACTCCAGTGAAGATACAGCAATGTCCAGGAGCAGCAGCTGTCCATGACATCCAGCTAAGCCAGTTTCCAAGGGACCAATTCAGTACTGTTATTCCACCAACACCAGTCTTCAGGTATCACACCCACTAACTCATACACAAAAGGAAATCAAAGCAGGGAGATACTTGAGCTCATTGCATAATTCAGTCATCCTCATTTTTATTTTGAAACTGAGTGAACTGTATATCCCTGTATATATTGTGTCTTCACTTTTCATGTATATAAGACATTAATAGAAAATATTGTTTTTGAAGTCGGGAAGGCATACCAGCTGCTATAAAATCTATGATGAGCAGGCAGACATCATATTTGGCATGGTCTGTGTATGTCTGTGAGTCCTGCACATCATATGATTTGTGGTGTGACCTAGCAGCATGTGCTGCATTAAAGAAATTGTTTATGTATCACTCTAAGATTAATGTTATATTTACGCGTCAAGAGAAAAGGATTTTCATA